TTTTTTAACTTTAACATAAAACTCAAACAAGTAAGTAAGTTTACTGTTTTGCACGTGGACTTAAGTAACACTTTTGACCTTAAAAAAATAATAATAGAAAAGGACAAATATAAAGATAAAGTTGTTCCATCAAATCTTGCTTTTTAAAAAATTTTGCAGTTCTAAACTGCTGGTTCCCAAACACTTTTAGGTTCATATCTAAAATAATATCAACAGAGACTCACAGTTCCAACTACAAATGTTGCTATTATGAGCTAAAATAACAACCTCCTAAAAAAACAGAGAGCAATTTTTACATTTTTATTTTAACCAGTTTCTAAAAATTTTGGCTAAACGTGTTATTAGCAAATATCTTTAATTTCCAATTGATTCCTGAAAATAAAGTAAAAAAAAAAAAGAATCAATCAAATCAAGAAAAACAAGCTACGACTGGAATTTTTCCTCATCAGTGGATATGAACTACAGTAACTGCATGATTTTTTGTGTTTCATAAGTCTTTACAGTGATTTACCTCTGCCCATGTGTGTTGACCTGAACCACCTCTATGAAACATATCTATTAACAAACCAACAAACTCTCAGAATTATTTTAAGAAATCTGCCTCCAATGAAAAAACTGCCACAATTCATACAATTTATATGCTTTCACATAAAAATATATATTTTTTTGTTTGACATTTGTTCTTGATTCYGTATAAAATTAAGCATTTTGTGATATTTGATGTCATCGGTGCAATTTGTTTGTATTCCAAGTATAATTTGGTAACAACCAATGCTCTAAAATATAATGGAAGAAACACCACAAATAAGCTCAAAGGAAATAAAAAGGAAAAAAATAAGGAAAGCCCTTTYGAAGTGCACATAGTGAGTRYGTTTTGTTGTTGTGAGTTTGTACTTGTTCTTAGTTTCCACCGACAATCACAAATTAGTTTATAGATGCGTTTTTGTTCAAAATAAAGATAAAAACATTTGAAGGTGTTTTTTTTTAATGGCACTTGCTGTATAACCCTGTCTGCTATTTTTTTCCTGTCATTTTTCGTCATAATTCCTGTCGTATTTTGTTCAAGTGAAACAGTACATTTTGTGTTTCAGTAAAGACTTTCTCCATGAATTTTGCTTCCCTATTTGCAGTCTGTTAATGAAAATGTCTTTTTGTGTGTTTAAAATATTACTTACCCACAAAGAAGTACTTACTTTGAAAAAAGGTCACTGAACGTATAAAGCTGGATCCTTCATCACCTGATTTATATTTTCTTATCTAACTGGGATGGAATGCTTTTATGATTCCTCCCAAATTGTGTACAAACCACTAACTGCAAAAGATTAACAAATAGTTTATGAAAATGATTAATAATGACTATTAMTATTAATATGAATTATTCATATTCTGCATTGACTGAAGCTTTTTGCACTACCTCTTAGACAGAGCTTTAAGTTTTAAACGACACCTTATGTTTTCTTACTGTTAGCAAGATATCTCATGAACTAATGWCAGGATCATAATGAAACTTTCAGAAAATTATAAGTGAACTAATATCTTGAACTGATTAACYTTTGAGGTCAATCTAWATTAAGATAACCATAAAATKAGGGACTAMAAATAAAGACTACAAAGATGGCTGCCACTCTGCAGGAAAATTCCTAGTTCAACACACCCCRTTTTGGGGTCTAAAGGCCCCAACCACTAATTTTAGATCAGCTTGTTAGACTATTTATTGTTAAGATTGAACAACAGTTAAAATGAGGCTGAGTAGTGGGTGTGGCCTCCAGACAACACCTGGGCCTGCTCCTGGTGTTCTGCTGAGGGATCTCCTCCCAGACCTGGATTAAAGCATCAGTCAGCTCCTGGACAGTCTGTGGTGCATGGAACGAGACATGATGTCCCAGATGTGCTCAACTGGATTCAGGTCCATCAAGGTCTTCATCGTGCAGGAGCTGCTAGCACACTTCAGCCACACGAGACCGAGCATTGTCABGGATCAGAAGGAACCCGGGGTCCACTGCACCAGCATGTGGGTCTGAGGATCTCATCAGGGTACCTCTGGCTTTGTGGCCCTCCATAAAAAATGCCTCCCCACACCATTACTGACCCACTGAGCATGTTGCACGCAACACCAATCTGCACAGAACCCACTAGAGGATGCAGGGTCCTCAGGCCAGCCTCATGAAGTCTGTTTCTAACGGTTTGGTCAGAGACATTCACACCAATGGTTCACTGGAGGTCACTTTGTAGAACTCTGGCAGAACTCACCCTGTTCTTCCACGCACCAAGGAGCAGATACCGGTCCGGCTGATGCGTTAAGGACCTCTGTCGGCCCTGTCCAACATTCCTGTCTCATGGATTCTCCTCCGTGCTCTTGAAACTGTGCTGGGAGACAGCAAGCTTCTAGCAATGGCACCAATTGTTGTGCCATCTGGGTGGATTTGGACCACCTGTAAAACCTCCATAAGCTCCAGGTGTCACCTCATGCTACCAGTAGTGACATAGACCCTAGTCAAATCCAAAACTACTGGGAAKAAATTGCATCCTCCAGCTGCAAAACCATTCCTGTTTGGGGTCTCATTGTTGCCTCTTTGGTGCACCTGTTGTAAATTTCATCAACAGCTGACGCTGATTAACAACGCTCTCTGCTTCTTACCTGACCAGTATCCCAGAGGTTTACCTGATTTGATATTATATTCTGCTTTAAAAGTGTTCCTTAAATTGTTATTTGAGCAGTGCATTTTCTTTATTGATTACAGCATGCAGAATAAACTCTGCTCTACCCGGCTGGAGGATGACTTAAAGTGGAGTTTTAAAAAAGAAAACCGAAGTATCAAAAGACTCACTTTTCACCTGACTTATAGGTAGCCTCCACCCTGCTTCTGGAGCACTGTTTCTTCCATTTAGTCACAAGAACCGCATTAAAGGTTGCTTAACTTAGAGGAGTAATCTGCAAATTGAATCTTTGATCTTTGATTGAAAGCAGCTTAGGAGACGCTGAAGGAGTAACGTTCTTCACCCCAACTGGATGATCTTTCCCCGACTTAGACCGTGGTGGATGACTCCTCTACCCTCGGTTCGAGGTAATGGCCGTTTGTTACTAAGCGTACCTGGTGTCTGGCTGGATCCKTTGAGAAATGTCTGCCCTTTCTGGTTGAAAATCCACATTCTTTAAAGCAGTGGTTCCCAAACCCTTTCCAGCATGTTTTCCCTGCTATTCAGCAGGTCTTCAGAAGATTGTTAATCACACATTCTTTCAAACCAGGTGTGTCAAATCAGGGAAACATCTAAAGATCACTGCTTTTTGTCAAAACTCGGAGCAGGAAAACCCCAGGGCGCAGGCGATGTTCAAATAAGAAACAAAAAGCTTTAATTAAACAGAAAATGGCTGGCAAGGCAGCTCGAAAAACTCAGCAGTACTTACAGGGAACGAGGACGAGTGAACAAATAACATTCAACAATGATCCGACAAAGATTGAAGACACACAATAATATAAAGGTGAATTAATGAGGGACAATGGGAAATACCTGGGGAGACACAAGAGGAAACAGGTGAGCGTGGGCGGGGCTGGAGGCAAGAAAGCAGGGAAGAGATGCACAGGGAACAGARAAACTCTAGAAAATGAAAGCAAAAAACACAGATCATGACAGTACCCCTCCCCCCTTAACGACGACTCCCAACGTCAAAAAAGGGAGAGGTTCAGGACTCGGGGAACATGGACACAACACAGGGGAACTCAGGACAAAACACGCACRCAAGTCCAGGGGGACGGTGTTGACATCAGGATTTTCATCTTTGGCTCCCATTTGATCTCGCCGAGTTCGTTTGTCTGAAAACAGCTAAACTGAGAAAATTGTACTGGAAGTTAAAAATAGTTTTAAGTGAATTTGTTACACACCAGATATTGAAACAAGACAATCACAATAATTTATAAGAGSTCTCAAAGAAACGGCAGGAAAATCACAGCCAACATCTCCTGGAGACAGAGTGCGTCCCGTAGTCCCGTCTCTGTAGTCAAAAGCTTATTATACTCAGTCAAAAAGCTGGTGATTTATGCAGCCATTCTTGTAATTTTACTCTCCCAGACAGCCAATGATAGGGTGATCGTTTAATTACCCGCGTCTGTTAGCAAAATATTTTACGAACCAGTGGATATAATTTACTGAAACTAATGAGAAAACACGTATTCAATAGACTGAAGTCAATTTTAAAACCACCATTGTTAAATAAAATGATTTGTAGAAGGAATCAAACCATACAACACCAGAATTCTGGATCTGAATAAGGTTTAAAGTCACCGGAGCTGACAGGAAACCAACACTGGCGACAAACCAGGAAGTTAATCAATTTATACAGGTTCTTCAATGCCTGCGTT